GACACCAAAAGTATGAAATTTGATAGAAAACTTACAGAATTACGCTCTCACAAAGTTAGCAGTCTCAGCGATACATACACATCAGCGATTTCGCCCACTTTGAGCCCTATTTTTGCCCAATTCCACTGTTCCAGTCAACCAAACTCATAGCTATTTTCTAGAACTCGATTTGTTCTATCGATTGAGTACAAGAAACCACCCATTTACCAATTTCAACTACCCAATACAGTTGTCAGAAATTGGCAATTTGGCCAATTTCACACAAATTTCAAAAGATGCCAATTTCAAAATAGGGTCCAGAATAAACAATGCAAACATTCCTGGCACTAAAATAACATTTTCTCTGTTCATTAATCACAGCTCCAGGCCCCTCTTATATTACTCTAGCTTTCCATGTTGAATTTTTATTCACACAAAAAATAGAAGATTTACTGTTATGCAGACTACTGCATTATTGTAATACTTATATAAATAATGTCAACCCATTCATGATTGCATATTAGACTGGAAAGTTGGACACGTACTGGACGATGACGTCATTTGTTTACTCTTGAACATCGGCAAAAATCGAACACTTCCACTACTTTGAGCTCAATTTCAAGGTACTTTTCATCGTGAAACCAGTCAAAATTATCTCTATTTTGTAATATATCTTCCATTCTATCAAATGAGACCAAGAAAACAAGAATACAACCATAATTACCATAAGAAAATACACCTCAAAGTCAGCGTTTTAAACCAAAAACACAGTTGGAGTTTTTTTTTTCTCATTATGCACTGCGTGCTGCAGGATTTTTTTTTATACTGTGCACACTGACCACAGCAGACCCATTCTCTCACGTGTAGGTCTACCAGCTTTCTCCCACTAGATTTGAAACCACTAGGATTTTGGCATTATACTATGGCATCAATGCTGGCTTGCAAGCTGTAGTACTATGGTACCAACAGTAAAAGGGTTAGCAGTTTCTCAAAATATTCCCTCCATCTTCCTGATACCTCTAACTCTCCTCTCCTATTTTTTACTACTGAATCCACTTGTTCCCTAGGGTTCCTCAACTTATTAATCTCACTTCAAAACTTTTTCTTATTTTCAACTAAATTTGTTGATAACAACTCATCCACTCTCTCATTTGCTCTCTTTTCACATTACTTCACCACTCTCTAACCTCTCTTTTTCTTTCTATATACTCCTCCCTCCTTGCATCACTACTACTTTGAAAAAACCTCTCATATGCTAACTTTTTCTCCCTTACATCATTCCACCAATCCTGCACCTACTTTCCTGTAACCACAAACTTCTGCTGAACACTCTAACATTACATTCTTAAACCTACCCCATACATCTTCAGCCCTACTGCTTATTCTCTCACTAGCCCATCCATTCTTCAGTAGTTGTTTATATCTTACCCTAACTCCCTCCTCCTTTAGTTTATAAACCTTTACCTCTCTCTTACATGCTGCTTCTATTTTCCTTGTATCCCATATACCTGTTACTCTCACTGCAGCTACAACTAAATAGTGATCTGATATGTCTGTGGCCCCTCTATAAACATATACATTCTGAAGTCTACTCAACAGTCATTTATCTACAAATACGTAGTCCAACAAACTACTGTCATTACACCCTACATCATATCTTGTATACTTATTCATCCTCTTTTTCTTAATTTTATGCAACACTTCTTAAAATTAACTAAACTCGGTTTTGTTTGCAGGGTCAGAAAAAATTTCCCCAGCTCAAGCTGCCGCCCTGTTGTGAGTCTGCAGGGAAGACCTACTGCCATCCCCTGCCACCCAACGCTCCCGCCGCCCCCATCCCAGCATTCATTCATACATGTTCAAAAATGAGAATGAAATGAAAATGAAAATGTTTATTTCCTTGCACAGCTTATAATGTGTGGTTTACATAATGAAGAATTGAGACACTTATGCAACACATGGGAATCTTTATTGAAGAAACGTTTCGCCACACAGTGGCTTCATCAGTCCAATACAAAGAAGAAATGGGTAAGGAGAGGAGAAGTTTGAGGTAATCAGTCCCTGAACCTGGAATCGATGTGTTCAGTCCATCACTCTTGTAGGAAATGCAGCATAGGGCCAGAGAGGTGGCTTATATACTGCAGTCAGATGAAGTGAAGCAGGAGGAGGCGGGATCACAGTGGGACCTGCCACTAGTGTAAGTAGGTTGTCGTCCAAAGGTTGGGCAAGCGTTGAAGTCTTTGTACCAAGATCCCATGATGTTGCCGTGTCTGACAGATGTGATGAATGGTTTAGAAAACCGACAATGGTTTTCTAAACCATTCATCACAGGTTTACATAATACAGGTCTCAATCAACATTCGCAATTTCCACTTTCACAGGCTTTGAACATTCGTGAATTCCAAGCCGCCAAATTCCCAGTCGCCAAATCATATTTATGTTGAGGACTTTGAAGGTGATGAACGACACTGATAGAGGCATAATTCCCTACAAAACTGTTTGTAGATATGAAGAAATGGTCTGAGTAGCCCATCACAATGTTCTTCACAAGGAAGCCTGCCACTACAGTCCCCATCCCTTTACCCAAGGTCCTATCACTGCTAAAACCTTGGGTAATTTCAAATTTAGGTTTTATAAATACAGTGGACCCTTGGGTAAAGGCTTCATCAGTTAGCGCCAAAATCGGCGAACGGCTCACTTTGGCTTAAAAATATTGGCTCAGCTAATGCCAAATAACTCGGCTAAGGGCTTTCATCCCAAACGTGTCCGCGTGGCCTGAGCGGGCCCGGCCACTCACTCTGTGTACCAGCCAGTGTGTCATTGTTTACAAAGCCAGTGAGGACGATTCCACGCATACCTGCGAGATATTTTGTATTATTCCAGTTTTTAGTGCTTGTAACTGCTAAATAAGCCACCATGGGCCCGAAGAAAGCTTCTAGTGCCAACCCTGTGGTAAAAAGGGTGAGTGTACTATCAAACTAAAGAAAGAGATAATTGCAAGGTATGAGTGGAGTGCATCTCTCGGAGTTGGAAAGGTTATATAACAAACCCCATTCAACCATCACTACTATCTTGGCCAACAAAAAGGCAATCAAGGAACCTGTTGTTGCAAAAGGTGCAAGTATGCTTACAAAACAGATTGCAAATACTCAAACCTTTCAAAATCCCTCTGGATCGTGTTCCTCACTTTATTTACCAAAGGGCTTGCACTAGCTTTCCTTGGGTCCAGGATGACTTATTTAGCAGTTGCAAGCACAAAAAACAATGGATTATTATGAAATGCACTGTATGAACCTACGGGGTGATGGTCACGTGTTGTAAACAATGGCACACCGAGCGTGAATGGCTGTGGGAGACTGGCTTGGTGTGTGCGGTGATCGGGCGGACGAGTACCGGACGGTCGCCAAAACACGAGTCTAATCACGAAACTCGAGGCCAAATTTTGCCAAAAAAACTCGCCCAAGGTCGAATTTCATGAAAGTCGAGGCTGCTGAAACTTGAGGGTCCACTGTACTTTATTGCATACTGATATAAAAGTTAGGTAACTGAAGTGCTTAATTAGATTTATAATATTGAGGTAGTAGAAAACATATTCTAACAGTATTTCAACTAGTAATTACAATTCGTTTAACAATGTGGTCTTAAGAACGGAACTCTTTGTCATTAAGTGAGGAGAGGCTGTATATATATGCTTGTACATGTATGTGTAGTGTGACCTCAGTGTAAGTAGAAGAAACTTGGAAGTTCTCAATATTTACACACACGTATATTTTCAGCTACATATAATGGAACCTCAGTACTCAAACAGCTCTGTACTCAAACAATTCGGGATTCAAATGCTTTGTTCGGTAAACAAATCGCTCAGTAGTCAATCGTCTGCTTGGCACTCGATTAAACAAACATGACCTGCCAGAAGTCCACTATAAGCTATTTCGTGTTTCTTTACAATTTTTGGTGTTTTTATATTTTTTGTATAAATTTGAAAAATTCATTTTGTACTTGAACAGCTCAGCACTCAAACAGCCTTCTGGAACCATTAAATTAAATTCGAGTGCTAAAATTCCACTGTACTCTATGAAATCAGTTGTAATAAATATGTCACTGAGTAAAGAGAAGGATGAAGAGGAGCATGAACCATGGTCCAAGTCCTTCCTTTTAGAAGCTCGGGCGGCCGAGACAGCAAAGTATCGGACTGTTAATTTATGGACTGCGATCCACGCCTCTTGTCCATCCTTCTGTCTATTCATATACATATTCTACGTCACTAGAAAGTGATATTAATTTCACCATAAAATTAGGCCACAAAAATGGAGGAATGAAGATTAAAAAAAAGGTGCAGTATAGTTATCAAGAAAAAATTAATGCATAACTATGAGCTTTCTGCATGCACCACTAAATGTCAACCATCTCTGTGCAAACTCTGCATGCACCACTAAATGTCAACCATCTCTGTGCAAACTCTGCATGCACCACTAAATGTCAACCATCTCTGTGCAAACTCTGCATGCACCACTAAATGTCAACCATCTCTGTGCAAACTCTGCATGCACCACTAAATGTCAACCATCTCTGTGCAAACTCTGCATGCACCACTAAATGTTAACCACTGCTGTGCAAACTCTGCATGCACCACTAAATGTCAACCATCTCTGTGCAAACTCTGCATGCACCACTAAATGTTAACCATCTCTGTGCGAACTCTGCATGCACCACTAAATGTCAACCATCACTGTGCAAACTCTGCATGCACCACTAAATGTTAACCATCGCTGTGCAAACTCTGCATGCACCACTAAATGTCAACCATCTCTGTGCAAACTCTGCATGCACCACTAAATGTCAACCATCACTGTACAAACTCTGCATGCACCACTAAATGTCAACCATCTCTGTGCAAACTCTGCATGCACCACTAAATGTCAACCATCACTGTGCAAACTGCATCAAGCTGAAAATATTATTATTTTAAAATTATCACAAATAAAGCAAATATAAAAAAAAAAAGCTTTAATTCAACTTACCAAAAATTTGAGTAGAAAACTGGTCACCTCTCTTATCTATTTCTTTCAAAGATTCCTGCTTCATTTTGTCAATGTTTGTATTTACACCAGAATAATTATATATTTCTTGTGTGGCATCACTTAACAAGTTTAAAGTATAAACCACATCATGAAACTTATAGCTTGATCCCTTGTGAAACACATCATTTCTAATTTTTTTTATCTGATTAATAGCCTCAAAAAGATTCTGATCCAATGGAAATTGCAGAATATCATTGGTCAGAAGATAGAGAAGAAAGGTTAAATCCAACTCTTTGATGTGTTTCAATGCTTCATCATTGCATGTTGATGTAAGCAACTGAAACATAAAGACCTTACTAAGTATATCCTCATTTTCCTTAAGGTTGTTAAGGAGTGAGCTACATACAGAGGATGCCTCCTGACTTCTGGCATCTCTACCACCTCCAGGAGGCACTGTCTTCCGTTCTTCTTTTTTACGCTTTTGTTCTAGTTTTTTGCCTTTCTGGTGAACTATTTTCAAAAAATCGTAAAAATTCATACTATAAATATCTTTATGATCAGAAGGCCCTTGAGAATCTTTAGGTAAACTAATGACAAACTCGGCACATTTTAAACGTTGTACAACAATATGGGCGAGAGCTGGCACGCAACCATTTCTAAAGAAATGATATATTGGAGCTCTAATATACACACAATCAACCTGTGGAGCAAGAAAAAAAATATAAATATACATATATATATTTATGATCATACATATAAACATACATGTACATATACATACTGTATACACCTACCATCCGACTTACGACCAAGCTTGGTTCCGACCAACCGGTCGTAAGTCAAAATGGACGTAAGTCGAACCTTTGAAAATTGCCCGACATATTGGAAAGGGCATAATGTCAAAACTTTCCTATATAAACTACCTACATAGTACTGTAATGTACAATCATTATTTCATTCTTTTTACCATAATTTACTTCTATTGTTATATTTTAATTATTTATGTACTGTATATAATGTATACATGGTAGTGAACTGTATTGTAAATTTTACATCGCATACAGTATCATATGTTACTGTTATCTTCATGTATTGTCGACACAGTGGAATGCGAGAATACCACTGGTAGTGTCATCCTGCCAGAATGTAGTACAGTGGACCCCCGGTATTTGATGGCATCGGTATTCGATAAATCCGGTATTCGATGCATTTTAAGGCAAAAATTTTGCCTCGGTATCCGATTGAAAACCCGGTATTCGATACGATTCATACGAGACCTGTCCACGTGTGGCCTGAACTGCCCCTTGTGTGCCAGTTTTTACAAGCCAGCCAGTGTGCACGCATCTAAGGATACATTCGGTACATTCCATATTATCCATATTATCACTGTTTTTGGTGCTTGTTTCTGCAAAATAAGTCACCATGGGCCCCAAGAAAGCTTCTAGTGCCAACCCTGTGGTAAAAAGGGTGAGAATTAGTATGGAAATTAAGGAAGATTTTGAAGGGTTTGGGGCTAACCCTGAGAAGCCTATGCCAGTTGTGGAATCCATTGTGCCTACTTCAAAAATTAAGGAAATGTGTACACAGTGGGTTGAAGTGCAAACCTTTATGGATAAAAATCACCCTAACACAGCTATTGCAAGCCATGCTGGTGACTATTACAATGACAATGTTGTGGCCCATTTTAGACAAATCGTAAAGGAACGGGAGGTACAGAGCTCTATGGACAGATTTGTTGTGCGACAGAGGTCCAGTGACTCTCAAGCTGGTCCTAGTGGCATTAAAAGAAGAAGGGAAGTAACCCCGGAAAAGGACTTGCTACCTCAAGTCCTAATGGAAGGGGATTCCCCTTCTAAACACTAACACCATCCACGCTCTACCCTCCTCCCATCCCATCAATCATCACCAGATCTTCAATAAAGGTAAGTGTCATGTAACTGTGCATGTCTTCTTCAGTTTGTGTGTATTAAAATTAATATTTCATGTGGTAAAAAAAATTCTTTTTCATACTTTTGGGTGTCTTGCACGGATTAATTTGATTTCCATTATTTCTTATGGGGAAAATTGATTCGCTTTTTGATATTTTCGGTATTCGATGAGCTCTCAGGAACGGATTAATATCGAATACCGGGGGTCCACTGTATAACCTATACCCTAAGTAAAGAGAAACAACTCTGGAACACATGTAATACGTATCCGGCTGGCTGGCTGGCCGGGTGGGTGGCCTGGTGGGTGGCCTGGTGGGTGGCCTGGTGGGTGGGTGGGTGGCTGGGTGGGTGGCCAATGGCCGGGTGGGTGGGTTTTTGGCCGGGTGGATGGGTGGGTGGGTGGCTGGTTGGCTGACTGAATGTGGCTGTCTCTCTCTGTATCTCTCTCTCTCTCTCTGTATCTCTCTCTCTGTATCTCTCTCTCTATCTCTCTCTGTATCTCTCTCTCTGTATCTCTCTCTCTGTATCTCACAAGTACACGTAAGTGAAGTTATCATACATAGTATAAATTACCTAGGATAACCCAAAAAATCCAGACAGTGCTATACAGTGGATCTGTGCTCAAGTGCCCTAAATTAATAATAATATTAATAATAATAATTATTATTATTATTATAATACATATGTACTAATAATATTATTATTATTAATATGTTGTGTGAGACAAGGTAGGAATAGATCCATCTAATTTTTCAAAGATTTTAGAGAGCAGTGGTAAGTTAGATATTGGTCTATAGTTATTCAAGTCAGCTTGGTCACCTCCTTTGTGGATCAGAGTGACCCTCGCTATTTTGAAGATTGCTGGGAAGGTAGATGATTCAATGGATTTGTTAAAGAGCATTGCAATAATTGGAGACAATACTTGAGAAGCTTTTTTGTACATAAATGCAGGCAAGTTTATGTCTCCTGCCTTGCTTTTAAGGGTGTTTATGATGAGCATAACTTCTATGGGGTTGGTTGGAGCTAGGAATAGCATATTTGAGTAGGTACCTATGAGGTAGTCTGATGGATGGGTGTTTGCGCTTGGTATTTTGTTCGCTAGATTTTTTCCTATGGTGGAGAAGAAAACACTGAGTCTGTTCACTGTTTCTGTTGGAGTGAGTTGGGGGTCGTCTGATTTTGTTAGTTTGATTGTTTAGATTTTGGATAACTTTTTAGTTCCAAGAATTTCAGATAGTTTTTTCCAGGTTTTTTTCCATATCACCTTTGATGTTATGTAATCTACTTTCATAATAACATTTTTTAGATCTTCTTATCAGGCTGGTAAGTGCTGAAGAATAACATTTAGACTGTTCTCTAGTTACTTGACCCATTCTATACTGTTTTTCATATTTGTGTTTTGTGTTAATGGATTTGAGGATGCTTGGTGTTAGCCAGGGATTATTCAGTCTCTTAGATTTAGATTTTAGATTTTGCCACCGAAGTGGCTAGTTTATTGTGCACCCCATATCCATCCTGTGGACGGTAGTGCAAGAGCATATGGATACACAAAAGGCCTAGGCCCCAAAGGGTTAACAGGAATACATATGGATTTATATCTACATATCTATAGTTCACTTATCTGTTACAAGCAAATTTAGGAAATTTGCTTAGTATATCTGGTATCTTATTTTCATCTTGACATGTCAAATAGGTTATTATACTGTCTGTCTCTGTATTCCTCAATAAGTGGACAATTAAGCACACAGTGTTCAAGAGAGTGACCATATGTCTGATTACATAATTTACATTTAGTTTGATCATCATCTGTGTGTCTCCCAAACTGCCAGAAGTATTTGTAACCAAGCCTAAGCCTGGCCACTACAACATCAGTCAGTGTTCACATTGCACGTTGCTCCATAAACATACTTATCTACGTTCATGTTATCATAGTGGGTTATAGATCTACTCAGGCTTCTAACTGCATTCCTATAACAATCATTTTCATTATTTACTTCTCTCCTAATATTATTCCTAATGCTAGACACAGTTATACCAAAGTTATATTCTACATTCTCCTTCTGGGTACTCTTCTTGGCTAACATATCAACTTTATCATGAAGGAGTAATCCAATGTGTGATGGGATCCATAGCAATTGTACATTAATTCCTTTGTCCCTAATTTTTGAGTATCTATACCTGGCTTCCCCAATGAGCATGTTGTTGGAGTCATTATATAAGCCAAGAGCCTTCAATGATGACATAGAATCAGTAATGATGATAGAGTCAAGCTCAGTGTCATAGGTTAGCTTTAGCGCCACTAGGATTGCAAACAATTCAGTTTGCAGTGATCTGTTTAGTTTTTTGGGGCAATGTTTGTTACAGAGGCTTTGGGCTTTTTTCAAAAAATTATTTATACATTCATTCATATCTGTATATCATTTTGCCAATCGATGTTATTCAGAGCTGCTATGAAGTTGTCTCGTTATGTAGTCTGAAGGTTACTCTAGTAATATCTTGTGGCAGTTTGCCCAGATTACTTATGAGAAAGGTAGGGCAGTGGTCTGTAGTGTTGTTTGTGATTATACCATCAATCAAGATGTG